TCTCTCTCTCTCTCTCTCTCTCTCTCTCTCTCTCTCTCTCTCTCTCTATATATATATATATATAGGAAAAGATGGTGTACAGAAAGATGACAAGTGGAACAGAGTGGAGACTCGAGCTGTGATGATTTCTTATATGAAGCAAATTTAGTTTACAGTGCAACACAAAACAGATCAAATATGCTTTTGAAATTCCCCAGAATTCCATTTGTGTTTTTAGCTCTGATGCATGCACTGATCGACTAAATCGCATCCAGTTCATATAGGTCCTGTTCTCTGCTCGAGAAGGAATTGGCTTCCGGGTAACTATTTGATTCCAATATCTCCTCGGGCGCCTCACCGATACCATGTACTACCATCTTGGAGCCGGAAGTGGATGCGTGTTGCGATATCATCTCCAAGCTGAATGCTTGGGGGCCATCGTCCTCATCATTGTTGGGATCAGCCAAGTGCTCAAGAGCAATTAACACATCGCTAATCAGCGGCCGTATGTTTGCTTCTTCTTGGAGGCACATTGCAGCAATAGCCAGAGCTTGAGAAAGGCCTTTTATGGGGTACTTTCCCTCGAGCATTGGGTCCGCCATGGCCACGAACTGTCGCTTGTCCTTGAACAGCGGCTCCGCCTGCGCAGAAATATCATCATCCCATGCGCTTAAGCTCGCAAGATAACAGTGCATGAAATGTGACCATCTTAATTTGGCATACCCAATGAACAAGGTGTTGCTCGCGTTTGGGCCGGTTGAGGTCGATGGCTCTCCTTCCGGTGATTAGCTCCAACAACACGACGCCGAAGCTGTACACATCCGACATCTTCGTTATCTGTCCTGTTATTGCATACTCCGGGGCGCAGTAGCCGTAGGTGCCCGTCACCCTGGTAGAGACATGGCTCTTGTCTCCAACCTTAGCAAGTCCGAAATCTGATAGCTTCGGGTTGTATTCCTCATCCAGAAGTATATTCGACGCTTTGAAATCTCGATATATCACCGGTGGGGTTGCAATCTCATGCAGGTACTCCAGGCCTTTGGCTGCACCAGCTGCGATCCTCATTCTTGTGTGCCAGTCCAATGGCTTGCCATTTGGCTTTGTATCTGTAAGCCACACATAACGCGCAAGTAAACAGTTAGAAATGTCTTACTCACGAGTAGGAACGGATGGAATACCGAAGACATGCACCCAGTAAATGTTGCTGCAGTGAACCCAGTGGCATGTATTCGTACACCAGGATCCTGTGATTTCCATCGGCGCAGTATCCGAGCAACTTGACGAGCTTTGGATGGTGCAGGAGGCTCAGCATCAGCACCTCGACGAGAAACTCTCTGTTGCCCTGCAATCCTTTTCTGTCGAGCTGCTTGACTGCTACGACCTATGCAAGGGGATCGAAGACACCGTTAGACTCGCTGGAAGCTGTGAAGCTAAAGCAATCTGCAGATGATGAGAGATGGCGTTACTTCGTTGGTGCCTTTGAGTTGTCCTTTGTACACTCTCCCGAATCCACCCTCACCAAGCAGGTTCTCGGAGCTGAAACTTCCGGTTGCTGCTGCGAGTTCACGGTACGTGAACACACGAGCTGCGATGTTGTCGCTGCCTATGCGCAAGATCTCCTCAGCTGCAAACCTGTGCCTGCCACTGTCTGCCAGGAGCAGAATATTTTCATTTTCTCCGTTGAAAAATGAAAATTTCTGTGAAGAATTCATCGAATAAACATTGCAATTTAAGAAACATGCGCTTCTCGTCGGTGGATGGCTTCCTATTAGTTTCATCTCTGGAAACTATATGCTTCCTAGCATCAGTCTGTCACTCATGAATTAGCTTACTAGACCACATACGATGCAGGTTATTCAAAGTGCAAACTGTTCTTGGATGTAGTGAGTGTCTTTTAGTCTCTTTCCTTGGATAGATAGTTAACCGGTTGTCCTTGTGATGCAAATGTGGTGTTCCTTGATTTAGTAGCATCTTCAGAGTTCTCCTCAGAGTAACAAGTTTGTGGTTTTGCTTTTATTTTCTGATAGCATCCGTGGAGAACAATTCACCATTTACTTGTATCAGTAAACACAACTAAGACGTTCTGCATCCAATATTTGTCAAAAGAAGAGGAAAAATCCAGTCTAATAAAATAGGAGGATTGTAACGAAGATTTTGCAATTGCTGACATGCAAATCATGAAGAAGACGTACCAGATCTGAAGGACATGGTATGAACTAGGGATTCGAGAGTTTTTGCTTTGTTCTGCCCCTTCCTTCTCCACCAGAACTTCTTGGACTGTCTCTGTGTCGATGTCTTCCTCTGCTCTGTTGGTACCTTTCTCTTCTTCGTCGTCTCATCCTTTGATGATTTCTTCTTCCTTCTTTTAAGAAAGAATAGCCTATTCCTCTTCTTCTTATTCTTCGTCTCATCCTTTGATGATTTATTCTTCTTTCTTTTAAGAAAGAATAACCTATTCCTCTTCTTCTTCTTCGTCTCATCCTTTGATGATTTCTTCTTCTTTCTTTTAAGAAAGAATAGCCTATTCCTCTTCTTCTTCTTCTCTTCTTGTATTGCCATCGTTTTCTTTCTTCTAAACAACAACGACTTCTTCTTCTTCTTCTTCTTCTTTGCCTCGTCTCTCGGTGGCTTCTTCTTCCTTACTCTTTTCTGAGCATCGCATGCCTTCATCTTCTTTTCATTCCACGATCTGAAGCAACAGAGACAATCCATCATCCGTCCACCTTTCTTCTTTGTGAAACTTATCAACCCCATCGAGTATGAAGTCGTTCCCAACAATTCAACCCACTCAGCGTAAAGATGGAGATCGATGGAGGAAAGACTTGGCTTCCAGCACGTCTCCTACATCCTCATCCTCCTCCTCTCCCTTGGTTTCTTCCCTCTCCCCGAGGATGAGAACAAACAACGGCTGGAACGAGATGGCTGGACATAAGCACGGAGCTAAATTTGGATCTCATCTCTTCCGTGCTTTGACCATCGAGCTGGCCTGAGACTTCTGGCTTGGCTGGGTCAGCTTGGCCATTGTGCCGGTGGCGAGCGAAACCCTCGCTTAACGGCATTTTGACTCACCAAATGCCACGTGTGTCCAATATGTGAGCCGTGGGGACACTTGCGTGGTTCGTGGGCCCTCACTAATGTCGGCATCATTTCATTAACTTTCTAAATATTAGATTTTTAGACCTCTTTATCGATTCTTAAACTTAAAAAATTTATATTAAAATTTGTATAATTATGAAAGTAAAATATCTAGCTCTATTTATCCTAGCGTCATTAGTTTTATCAACAGAAGTATAAAAATAATGAAAATAATAATAATTTCAATATTTCAATTGGCAATGACGGACGATAAAATCGTTGGAGGTAAAAATTGGCAGTGACAGTAAGAGGTAAAAATTGCTCTATATCTACGTTGATGTTAATGTAGTTGTCGAGTGACCCTTTCATTACTCTATATCTGCATCAACATCGACGTAGTTGTCGAGCAATAAAAATGGCTACTCGATGTCTGCATAGACGCCAATGCAGATACGAAGCAACGAAAGGGCCACTCGGCATCTACATGATCTCATATAAAATCAGCACGAGGATGTTAAGGAAACGAGCATGACAGTCTCAGGCACATTGTCAACTGAGCGCCCTCCATGCCCTTCCTCCTCCTTGGGTGAAACTTATGCTCGTTGCTCCTTCGTTGCCTTCCATCCTCTTACACTATAATCAAGAAAAGAAATGAAAGGCGATACTAGGCACAACGCCCAAGATTGAGGCTCTTGCTATGATAGCCATGGTGATGTTGTAGGAGGCTATGGTAGGGATGAGGATGCTAAAGGTGGATCTGTTTAAGAACACAATTAGGATGGCGCTAAGGTTAAAGGCAATAGCTTCTATTGCTTCAACGAGCAATGTCGATGACAAAAGGTGCCGGTGATCCAGAGGATAAGTCGAGAAAGAGGAGCGGATGACAAAGAGGAGGAAGACGCAGAGGTTTTGCACCCCCCCTCTCTTAGGAGGAGATCATGATGAATTTTAAAACTATCGTAGGAAAGAGATCATGTAGTTGTCTAGTGGTCCTTTGCTATCTACATATGTGTCGACACCAATGTATATGTCGTGCGACCCTTTTATCACTCAACAATTATGTCGATGTCGATATAAATACAGTGTAGTGAAATAATCGCTCGGTAACTACATCTAAATTGATAAAAATACAAAACGACCCTCGCCTCTCATCGCCACTCTACTCCTCCACAATAGTCATCCATAGCCCCTAGTGGCATCGACGTCATTCGTTATTATAAATTGAAATATTAAAATTATCTTTTTATTTATTTTTTTATATTTTTATCGATAAAATTAATAGTGTTAGGATAAATAAAACTATATATTTCACTTTTAAGGATTTCAATATAATTATTCTAGAAATTAAGAAGTTGAGGAGTTTTTACTAACATATGTAATTAGCCATCAATTTTACCTTTCTCTCTTTTTTAAATGGAGAGATGATTTGGGCCCCGCTGCGTCTCAAGGTAAGTGAGGCACGTAGGGCTGCGGGTGGTTTGAAACAACGTACCGCTTTGCGTCGCAGAAACACCCTCCCGAACCTTCTCCATGCTCGCGCATGGCGGTCTGCAGAACCCTAATACGATCCCTCCGCCGAACACCCGGCACCGTATCCTACCCCTCTCCTCCCACTCGATAAGATCTCTTCCTCTTCCTCTTCCCCTTCCCCTCTCGCCGTCGTTCCTAACCCCTTCTTCTTCGTGCTCCGGCTCACTGCCACGCCGTTTCCTCTCTTCTTGCTGCCCTCCCGATGGGTCCGCTCCTCGGGGCCTCTCTTTGTCTGCTCGAACCCGTGGAGGCTCTCGCAGTCGGCGACTTCATTATATCTGCGTGGGAAAGTTATTTTCCCCAGGGATCTGCTCCAAGGTCAGAGCTTTCCCGTCGGTTTGGGGTTGAGGACCCTAGAAAAGGTCGGTAAGGATTTAAAGGATGCCGTTGGGTGGAGGGAGAAGGGAAAGTGTGTGCAGAGCACGGCGCGGTTGGGGTTGGTGAAAAGTTCCTGAATTTACCCAATTTGGTTCCTATCAACAGGATGGTGTCCGGTCCTCTGATTGGATGGTAAGTTGGTTCTCTCTTAATATTGATCTCTTAAATCTGGTAAATTCAGAGGGAAAAATAATAACGTTAATATTATGCATCTGGTAGATTCAGGGGGAAGAAGAATAACGTCTTTAGAACCTTGATGTGATTTAGATTCAACAATGAACGTGCCTTTCTTTCTTAAATAATAGAAGCACAATAGAGAACCTAGCCTCTGTTGTGTCTTACCCATTTGAGAATATCAACTGGATTCTGAAATGTATCTGAATCTGATTTAGTAAAAGAAGCCATGGAGACACATTGTAGAAGTATAATCATGATCATATTCAATGTGTTTAACATTTTAATAAGTTTATATGGTCTCAAAAACCAAAACTTCCATAAACCTATACCAAACTATTGGGGAACCATTTGATTCATGGATATATCTAAACTAGATTCTGATGTTATCCTAGTGTCTGAAAAAGAGATACAGTGACATGTTTAAGAAATAGTGAGATAAGACCTCTCATGTGTGGCAATGCGACATATTAGAGGTTAAGTCTGTGTGATTGCAGAAATCAAAGAAGATCCACTGCATGTATAGTCGATTAGTTGGATAAGTATTTTATTCGTTGGCACACATCTGACACTGGATACCCGTCATGAGTTCTGATGGATGCAAACGGGCAGTGAACTATGATATCCATATTTTGAATGTGGTGGTAAGTCATTAGTTGCCACATGGAAACATGAATGATGGTCGCAATCGTGTAGACCCTAATTAACTGGAAAATTAAGACATACTCAATATACTGAAAAGTAGGAGGTAACTGTAAAACATTCTTATGGTTGCAATTTCATGGTTGTTTCCTTTGCAAAACTATCTTCTCTAATTCATTTTAAAATCCCGCTGCTTGAGCTGAGGGATGCATGTGTATGTGGTCAAATAGTTGGGGTTGGTTTGATTGGGTGAATTTTTTGTGATAATTTATATGATTTCACTTAAGCTCTAGGGAAAGTGCTGATGTTCCTTTCCTGCCCTTTCATTGAGAAAAACTTTGTTGCTTGGAGAAATAACTTTGTATCTATTTCAACATATGTTACATTGATTTTATACCAAAAATTGATTTATATGGGATTCAAATTGATAAAAAGAATATTCATCTGACAAAATTTGTTGCATTTGTCTAATTATCTGATAGGATGATTGTACGTGAGTGGTATCTTCCAGCTTTTGCCGCATTGATTGTTTCTGGAGCAACTGACTGGGTGAGCAGTCAAAATTTTTTGAGTAATACCAACTGATTGTCCTTTCAGTTTCCAGTTTATTAACTGTCAGTATCTATCCTTATTTTTGTTGTAGCCGGATGGTTTCCTTGCAAGAAAGATGGGTATTAATTCAGTACCTGGATCCACTTGCTGACAAGTTTGATTTTTTCTTAATGGAACTTGTGACTTAATTTGATTCCCCCTTTCTTAGTCATTAATGCTGTGTGGGTTGTGTACCCTTAATGTGTTATCTATATTCTGATTTTGTGAGTGCAGGTTCTTATAAGTTGTGTTGCTTTAGCTATGGTTGGAAAAGATCTCTTAGATCATGAGTCATTTGTAATAGCTTGATTGTGCACTGAGTAAACTTTCACGAGAAAATTAATATATATATTTTCCCCTTTTTTTTCATTGCTGATCCAGTGAAATCATTTTGACCAATTGGTATAAAAAGGTATCTCTACTGATCTGGCAACTATGTTCGCTTAAAACTAATAGTCCATGTTCTCAATCAAAAAGCAGGTTTAGTTTGCAGATGGAATGATATTCCTTAAAGAACATGTTTCTCATTTTAACTTTCTTCAATTTCTTTTATTTTAATTGATTGAACCAGTGTACATGCTTTTAAAAACTAAATTTTGGTGAGCCGTATCATGAGTTTTAGATTGAATGATTAAATAGTTCTTTAGGAGGTAATTTTAGATTAAGATGCTAGTTTTAATTTCTGAGTAACTGTAGCTTTAACAACTAACATGGCAACCACCTAACTTTCTTTGTGGCTTTTGAAGCTATGGTGGTGGCCTTGGTGGTTCTAAGAGATGTGTCTCTTATCAGCGGTGCAGTTTATAAAAGAGCTTCTAGCTTGGGGTGGGAGGTAAAGTTGACACGGCTTATAATAAGACTTCCTGTTTCTAGTCCAGTTTGAGGAACCTACTAATTATTTCTTCTCTTGTTCTGTTTTTAGTGGAAGAGTTGGTATGACATTCTTTTCTTGATGCTTAACTTCTCGGTAGACCTTTTTGTGATATCATAACACATCTATCTATACTTGAAGCTATCTCAACAACCTTTTAAGAGTCAATGATGCAGGTGAACACCGTTTTCCAGTTGCTTCTAGCTGCTGCTGCTCTTCTGCAACCTGAATCGGGCAGTGAAGAAACTCAGGTGTACATAACTTGAGGTAAATCGCACAATGTGTTTTCCGTGCTCTAGCTTGTGAACTCCATGAAGTCCATATGCAGGTCTAGTTATCTGATCCAACATCTGCTGCTCTTCTCTATTAGCTATTCTGGCCCTCCTCTATTATCAATGTAGCTTTTCTTTTCTGTCAAGTGTAAATTGTTGACATAAAGACAGTTTTTTTATTTGCAGCTGGTTGGTGGCTTCAACAACGACCGCATCTGCAGTTGCTTATGGTGCCCAACATCTTTGCGGATGATAAGCTTTCTCTGCCCTAGAAGAACTGTGGTGGTCGAGATCAACCAGCAACGGGAAGTGATTTTAGGTTATCTTTCATGTGCTTTTCTAAAGCAATAGGTTATTGTGATCAATAAATTGCATTTTAGGGAAAAGGCCTTTTTGTTTCTTGTTCTTGAGACACGAGGAAAGAAGAGGAAGATAATAGCTACAGACAGCTTTAGATCAACAGCTTGGTAATTTGGGGAACATGCAATAGAAGTTGATAGGAGAAACAACGCCGAATATGGCCCATTTGATGGTCCCAGAAAACCTTTCTGAGTCCACCGAACTCCGGCATTTTCACGGCATGCTCAATCAAGAGAAACCAATGATGAGTGTACATTGTGAAAACAGAAGTAGCACCGTCCATGTATGCTTTGTGTATATTCATTTAGAAGATGATAGCAGAGATAGCATTCGTTGTCGTTTTAATCCTCGTATGTCTTGGTGTATCAATGTTGCTTTAGATTTGGTTGGATATTGGAAGAAATGCTTAATGTTGGATTTTGTCTTTGGTGGGGAATCTAAATGTTTATTTTTAAGCTTTGCTAGGACAGATATAATTAGAGAGGTCTTGAGACAAACAAGGAAAAATAATCTATGAAAGAACGAGAAAGGCCGGCATGGTGGAGGAGGATATACAGGAGAGGGCTAAATGACAAAGGCGAAAGTAAAGGTCCATGCTGTTGATAGCCTCAGAGGAAGGGAAGCCATGCGAGAAGGACCAACAGGGCCAAGGAGGAAAGCACGAGATGGGAGACAGGGGGGGCAGGCTGAAAAGAGAAGGCCGCGGCGGAGTCACTTTGGTGCTGGAATTGGAGGGAGTCGACGGCGAGGGGCATGTTCTCCTGGTCAGGGCTGCACTTGTAACCGCCACCGCCACCGCCGCCGGCCTGCGGCGGGTGGGCGCTGTAGAGCACGGCGCGCAGAACGGCCGACACCGTGGGGATGTACGCCGTCTTGTTCCTCGCCAGCAACCACGTGAGCCCCATCAGCTGGCAGTCCCGCCCGAACATCCTCTTTGCCCGATCGCCGCCGCCTTCGTATTCCCCCACACCACCGCCATGCCCCTTCACCTGCACATCCATGGTGACTGATCATTATGGCTGCTGCTGCCGCGACTACCGTGAGGTCAAGCGGTTTCTCTACAGTGAAAACAAGTGTTGTCCGACGGGGAGGCACGTAAAGAACTGCGACGAGTCCCATGTTGCATGTTCATTTATTAAGCTGTGCAGGGAAATGTGTCCTGTTCTGCTGCTTCACCGCTTCTATTTGTAGAACTTGGAAAAGACAGAGAAGCGAGAAGAAACAATCTTTCACACAGACAGAGTACGTAAAGAAGGGGTTCGAGGAAGCAGACCTTCTCGAGGGCGTGGAGGCAGCGGGTGCAGCCGGCGTAAGATGCGTTCCGGCAGTCGCCCTCGAGTTGACGTACGGCCAAAGTGGGCGTGGCGCTCCGGGCTGCGCCGCCGCTGACGTTGAAGGCGGCCGGGCAGCGGAGCGACCCGATCTGATGGAGGCGGATGCCGCAGAAGCAGAGCACGGTGTCGCATGTGGCGTTGGGCCGCGGCAGGCGGATGTCGCGCCGTTCAAGCGCGCTCTGCAGCGAGTCCACGCACTTCTGGTTGTCGTCAGGCATCATCGGCCCATCCATGCCGTCAAGCCCGTCGTCAGTCGCGGGCGGCGGCTGGAGCTCCAGTGCGGAGCGAGCGTGAGCAGCGAAGAGCCAGGCGGCGAGCACCGGGCAGCAGCGGCTCCTGTCGAGACCCCCGCGGATGCAGGCGTCGCCGACCCCACCGAAGAGCTCATCGGATAGGTCGAGGCGACACTCGCTCCGGTTGTTAGACCGGGCAACCGGGAAGGCCGGCACCGTCGTTGATGCGAAGCCACTAGCGTTGAGGGAACGCTGCTCGTCGTAGAGGATTTGCGGCTTGATTCCGGATGCTAAGGCAGCCGTGAGCGCGGTGGCCGAGACAACGAGGAGAGTAAGGTGCAATGAGGCAGCGGGTGATCTCATTCTTCTTCTTCTTTCTTCCGACCTCTGTTTCTTCTACGGCAACAGAGTGGTCGGAGGAGGAGAAGAAGATTCGGAGAGTAATATTCCTATGGCGAAAGCTAGCTTGAAAAAGGAGGTGGAGTGGCGCTGAGAAAGGAGAGCATCATGAGTTGTTGGGATCTGGAGTGGAGGAATGAACCAGGAGAAGGTAATTAGGAGACGAAGAAAAGGTGCCCCCCTTTCCTCTGTGGATCGGCTGGAACGACAGAAGACTCGAGCCTGAGCGAGCGAGCACGTTCGTGTGGGTGCGTGTGTTGGAGGCTTCAAGCTTAGAGAGAGAGAGAGAGAGGGCGATGTAACTCTGTTGTCTTGTTTCTTCCTCCTCCGTCAGCTTCTTGCACAAGAGTTGTGCAAGGTACAGCTGATGTAGCTCACCAGACGCTGCCACCTATCCTTCAAATCCGAATTCCCAGAACGAAGAGGGATCAACCAGGCTCCTGTTGGGAGAACGGACCACGGTGTTCTCGTTCCTCTCATCCCCTTGACATTTCAAGCTCGGAGTTCCTCTGTGCCTGTGGTGGACCCCTAGTTTCTCTGTACTTGGTACTGTGGCTTTCTAGATTCTCTGTACCTTTGGTGTTTTTACGTTCATTATATGGTCATTAATTAGGAAAATAATATTAGCTTCTCTAGAAGGTCTGCTGTCTTCGTTAAATGATGCGGCACATCAGGTTACTTGGCATCAAAACTAGGCGAGAAATCAAATAGAGGACACTTCGGTGGGGCGAGGAGGTCTGCAGTGTCTTGTCCATATGCATCTCCTTTGCCGTGTGAAGAGGAGAAGACGACGGCAAGCAGGACATTGGGCGGGCTCCCGCTGTGCCATCCCATCACGTCCACGTGGACGATGCCGAAGACTGGGTCAGTCACCGACTGCTGGTTCACGTGCATCGATTGGGTTTTGGAAGCTTATATATAGATATATAAACACGGTGAATGGTCTCTCTCTCTCTCTCTCTCTCGTTCTCTCTAAAACCGAAACAAAATGATTCCGTGCTGTTTCTGCTGCTGTTGTTGTCGTCCTCGTCGACGACGACGGTGATCCCAGACGAAGGACGGCATCACAAACCTTTGAGAACCGGCTTTAGCGGAGGAGGAGGACGAGGAGCATCTTGCGACGGTGAACTGGGTTAAGAATGGAGCAACGAGGGCAACCTCCTCTGCACGAATCTTTCGCTGTCATTCTGAGGTCAAACGAGTCTTTCAAAGAGCTCCTTTTATTCGATCAGAAATCACCTGTGATTCTTTGCCACAACTGAAGTCAAGAATCATGTTCATTCTATTTCCCGATTCACCGAGATCATGAAAAGGGTTGTAATATCAGCCAGCCAGCCATGACCGGTTCACATGCACCATTGTCTCCACCAAGTTATCATGGCACGAGGAGGCCCCCTTAGAAAGAGGTAGCAGGGCATCAGGATTTGGAGCTACACCATCAACTCCTGCCAAGATCAATCAAACCAAAACTGCTCACCTAAATGACAACGATGATGATGATGATGACGATGACGATGGATGGATGGAGGGTAGAAGACAAGAGCCCGAGTAGAGCATGACAGCAAAGCAGAAGAAAGAGTCCACAGACAAGCCAAGGGGTCTTCGCTTGAAGAAATGACCCCCTAACAGGGAAGATGTCTCTGCCCTCAGTTATTACGTTGGCTTGGAGACTCCATGGCTAGCTGGTGACTGCACTTTTCATATTCATTTGTTTTGATCGGCTGTTCTTTATTCCCCCGTCCGTCACGAGGACAAGAGATTGGAATCAGCAGGTAGGGACTACTCAGAAACAAGCCACGATTACAGGACAAATGGGTACAGTGACAAACCACCAGAATCTGTAGCTATATTTGTCTTCAGCAACCCCAATATATGCAGTACAATCATGCCCACCCAAAAGCTCCCATCAACATGCTAAAAGCCATCTTAAATTCCATGAGAATTTAGCTGTACAGTGTTCACCGCTCTCTTTCCCATGTGCATCTCTCTCTCTCTCTCTCTCTCTGAGTGGTTTGCATTTTTATGTTCGAGCTACTGAGTGACCAGAAAGTGGAGAAGGCAAGTTGGGTTGGGGTGGGTGAGTCTATCAGAAACGTTGAACTTGACCAAAGAAAGAACTCAGTGGAAGCTAGTTAACGAAAGGACTCGGTGGAAGCTAGTTAACGAAAGCTCATTGATGCCAAGAAGATGATGTTGCGGCAAGCATGCTCAAGGATGGGAATGGCGAAGGTCCTCTTCTCCTCCAGTTCTCTTCACAACTGGCAGAGCGGGTAGGTGCTGCTGCCACAGTGCTAAGCAATCTTTCATCTCGAAGTTTAGATTGCATGACGATGAAGGCGAGAAGAGATTGTATAACCGGCTCATTTGGTGCGTCACCTGAGTGCTGTTGCAGCTTGATCTTGGTAGATCAAGATCATGAATGCAGAAAGCAACGATGGTTAGGCAAATCGATGACACCATGAACACACAATGAGGCGGCAATCATATCGGCAGTAAAAGGTTATCCCCAAGCAGATGTATCAGCTGCTTCATATCTGAAAAAGACATTACTAGTAACAGGTAAAGGGACCGAGGTGCATAGCAGAAGAAACAGTTCATGCTCGACAGTTCTCCGTCCGGAATGAATGATTGGCCAACATGACACCACAAATAGAAATCAACTCGCAGTCGATACCAGTCATTAAGATAGCAACATCAAGTGCTTCTGATCCTTCACGAATATATAATATTCCGAGAACCGCAAGTAAGAAGATGATAAGGTGTCCGCATCCATTATCCAAATGCCCTGTAGAATTGCTGAGGTGTCCCATAACGAAAGAACTCATCCGTGGAGGAAAAGAAAACTCCAAATGAAATAAAGATCGCTAATGAAAGGAATATATCATAAACTAGATGTAAAATTTAATATATTATTGATGAAACCAATTGATATGTGGTTATGTTTTAATCTACATTTTGAATGACGCATGATGCTTCGATCCGGATGATACAATTAAAGTAGGAAAAATTATGTTGTGCCGGGGGAAAACATGTCACAAGATTGGACGTCGGGTCGGAGGAACGGTCGACGTATCGACAGAATGCTTCGGGCCATGGATTCGGGCATCAAGCCAAGAAAAGCGGATATTGCGCCAAGGATATCGGAGTTGCTGAGTCAACTGGTCGATTGGGCAATAGGCCGCAAGAGAGGACGATGCGCCGAATAATCGGACGAAGCGTCGAGGGACCAATGATATGCCAGACAACTTGATTAATGTTTAGTATTAATTTTCTAGATCGAAGTGTGTTTTATATGTGCAAGATTGACTACGATAGCAAGGCATGAAGCAAAATAAAGTTCCGGAGTCGAGGACACGAGTACCTTAGGAGTTTGAGAGTTCATCGGAAGTCCAGATATTCGTCGGAAGTTCTGTCGAAACCAACCAAGAAGTCTCGGAGCTTGCCAGAGAAACTCATCCGAACTCGCCAAGAAGATCGTCGTGAAGTCCAGGAGCTTGCCAGGAGTCCACCGGAACATTGTCGAGAGATCGTCGGAAGTTCGCCGGAAGATCGCCAGAAGCTCGTCGGAAGAATAGACTTACAAACTTGTTTAGCTTAGATTATGTCTTAGATTTCATAGTTAGCATGTAATTGGGATTGGATTTGGGTCAATCCAATTAGGGGCCAGCTAGGCCCATGTAAGGACTGTGTTGAGCCCAATGAAAGGCTCAAACAGTGCCCCAAGAAGTCTCACCATCGTGGCACAGTCTTCAAGACTGTGTCAAGCGATGGGATCGTTGGTCTGGGTGATGGTACCGCCCAAACATAACCTCCGAGAGGCTGCAGGCGGTGGTACCGCCAGACTGGGTGGTGGTACCGCCCAGTGCCAGGTGATGGTACCGCCAGACTGGGCGGTGGTATCGCCCAGCATAGGCGGTGGTACTGCCGGACCCAAGAAACCCGGGATGAGAAGTTTTTAAGTTCTAAGTTTGAATCAACTTGAAACATATAAATACCCCTCTCATCCCTGGTTAAGCATACAAGTATTGAGAGTAAAAAAAGTATAGAAACGCTATTGCAATCTTGTGTGAGCTCCTCTTATAGTTCTAAGTGTTAGAATAGTTTGAGAGAGGAGTGAGTGGGGGTGTAAGGGTTATCTCCTAAACCCGATAAAAGGAGAATTGAGTTGTAAAAGGTGATTAGTCTTCGCCTATTAAAGGAAGACCGATAGTGGATACCAATGGCCTCGACGGAAGAGGAATCGACAAAGTGGATGTAGATCACGTTGACCGAACCACTCTAAAAATCTGGTTTGTATTTTACTATGAGCAATTTATCTTTCCTGTAAACCTCTTTAATAGTTTACTGTCTTCAATACATTTACGAACACGTGTTTTAAGTTAAGCATTTCCAAGTTCAGGTTTTATCGTACGAAAGATTTTCCGAAACCGATATTTTTATCCGCTGCACTAATTCACCCTCCCTCTTAGTGCCGACCCTTGATCCTAACAATTATAAGATATATTATTCTCATTCAAGCATGAAAAAAAATATCTCAGCCTCTTTAGATCTATTAAAGATAAACCTTTAGGAGCATCGAAGATGTCTTGCATCTCTCTCATCAAAAATTGGTAAACCTAATTTCCTAAGATTTTTCATACTTTAATTCTTAGGTAAATCTAAATCTTAATTCACTAAGAAATTTAGATTTTATTATAACTTCTCCCAAGTCGTTAGAATATCTAAAGTACTAACCATAATAATATCTACATCGATATGTATTTTTTCATTTTATCTTATATAAGAAATTGAATCATTGGTTTGAAAAATCTATCATAACTACACAAACTGAACGCAACTCTTTATGATATATAAACTAAAAGAAACTCTTTATGGGGGCCTAAATAAGTTCCAAAGGCATGATATAATAAAATTATTATTATTTAATCAAAAATAGATTTAGGATGAGCAATAATGAACCTATTCTTTATCTAAAGAAAGGTAAACTTAATATTCTTGTGGTTTATCTTTATGTTGATGCTATTATATATATGGGTTCATCTAACTAATTTTTTTATGATAGAATTTTAAAAATATGTTAGATCTAGGTTTACTATACTATTTTCTTAGGTTGGAGGTGAAGGATAATATAAATTTTTTATTTTGTAAAGAAAGTATATGGATCTATTCAAAAAGTCTAACATGATTAATTGTAAAACTACAGCAATACCCATAAATGTAAATGAAAAATTAAAACTTAAAAATGGTATATGATAAATGTAAGATACTATAAAAGTTTGAATAAAAGTTTGATCTATCTGTTGTAGCTATTAAAAGAATTCTACGTTGTATTGTTGAAACTACAATTTATGATATTTAGTGTTCTTATAATTTTAAATATAAATTATTTGTTTTGAGTGATCCAACAAAAGCTTTGAATGATAGAAAAAATACTTTAAGCAATATTTTTAACCAACCTCGAATTAAGAGCTGTCAGATCACACCATGTACATCGGAGCTTCAAATGCGCCAGCATGCACTTCTCCGGTAGCTTTGCCATCCGAGCATCCTCCAAGTTTGACGCTCGTTGGCGGTTGCATGGAGATAGCACTGTAAGATCTGTCAACGAATGCAACTCCGAGATGCCACTTCCGAGAGCATCGTCAACTTCAGGGAACCCATCCACATAGCATTCGAGTCAAGGAGGCACATCCCTCCGATGGCCAGCTTTTCACATTACTGAAATCCTCAGGCAACTCACCGAGCCAATGGCAACCTTCGATGTCCAACTGCAAATTTACAAGGCGAATGACCGATGCGGGTACCATCCGAAGCTTTGTGCGACGAGCTAGTATTAGAATCTGTGATTTGTCAAGCTTGTGATGCAGTCCACAAGTAGCTACACAAATTACAGGTGACAGTCACTCTGCTACGAGAGAATGTGCTTCGGTTGATCCCACCTATCCTTGAACTTCCCATGCGTAACATATAGATTGTTCAGCACCAGCAGGTGTCTCTGCTGCTGCCGAGAGTCGTTCACTGATAAGTAGCCAGATCGCTTGCTGATTGAGCTGTAGTAGCTGGTCACATGCCTCCCCCGACTATCCATCTTGCGTTGGTAGACTTATCACCCAGACTGGATGATGGAAATGTTGGCACGCCCAGTGGTGATGGTAGATCATCCGAGAAAAGACTCCGACCATAGAAAGGATAACCGGCGAGACGTCGTCGTCGTCGTTCTGTTGCTGCTGAAGAATCCTCCTGTCTTCCCATCACTTTACCGCTCAGGATGGTGGAGTACTCTGCTTGGCGTGGATCCATCATGTCCTTTCGGAGGTCCAACTCAGCCCCCCATGCTCACCGGCTCATTCAACCTGCGTGTCATCTTCTTGAGCTTGCACGGAAAAGCAAGGCGAGATGCCACTCGACCGCCGAGGCCGAGGATGATGGAGTGCGACGACTAGCTATTTGACGCCGCTGCCGCCGTCTCCTGCCTAGCCAACACCCTGTCGAGCGAGCAGCTTCTGGAGGTCCAGAATGGTCGCACCCACGCCCGTTATGAACGTCACGAAATTGGGCTCGGCGTCCGCGATTACGGCGTTGATGGCCCAGATGTGATGACGAACCTGTTCCAGGTGGTTTTGGATGTGTAGCTCCGGGGCCCGCTTCGTCATAGCAAGCGACGGCAGCAGATCCATCCAACAGTATGCGCTTCCTTCGCTCCCCATCTCTACTTTTTCTCTCCGTTTCTTCTCCTGTAAGTGTCTGTGTGTTGGTGGTTGCAGACTACCCCCATATTGACAGCTCAAGCTTGCGGTTTCTCTCGGGAGGGCTGTTGCGAGGCAGTGCGCTCTTGGAATCTGCCCTCGCCACCGATTCACACGACCAAGTGCGTGCGTGCCCATCGTCCCAAGGAAGCTCACTTGATCACGCTCCATGCCTTCCATCCATACCTTTCTTGCAATCCTCATCTTCGTCCAGCTGCGGACGCGAATACTGCTTTCTTTCTCTCCTCTCGGAAAAAAGCTGCCAAGTTTGCTGTGGGTGCGGGAAACAATATATGTTTTCCTGTGATTGGCTCTTCACTGTTATGATGGGTCATGTTTAACGTCCACGGATACATTCTTCCCTGATTAGACTTCTGATCTTATAGATTCTCAACTCGACAAGCTTCTGAAATTTCATAGCGCCCATCGATTCTTTACTTCATTCACTACTCCCAGTGAGTGGAAACTGGTGCAAATTCTCTTGAAGCAAGTTTCTTGCTCATAAATTGCCTCTGAAACACTCTTTTAGGTACCTAAACATCAAATAAAAAACTGTTTAGTCTCTTATTTCCATGTCAATGAGGGCTTAAGATCAAACTAATAGTTGGTGCTAATAATTTAAGTAGGATAAGATTAGTATCAAAGACACACTGCACCATGTGAGAACCAAAAACATGGAATACCAAGGGCCATCCAAAATCTCTGAGAAATATCATTCCTTTCATCAATAATTCCAAATTAAGAGGTTACGGAAAATGTATTTTATGCATGTCGAATGACACGGAAATTGGATGAGATCATCTCCAGTAGCTGGTTGTGTAATCTTCCATTTGTCACAAGCACACCACCTGACGGGTATATGATTCTCCGGCCTGCTTCATCAGCTGCAAGGTCTAGCTCAGTTCCAATCCAATCCGTGACCTAGTAAGATGCATTTAGTTTCTCATCAATAGAACCTTCGATGCAATGAGGAGAAAGAAATATACAAATTCGAATTAGCAGACGCAAAACCAGCACAAATCTCAGAGTAATTATAGCCTGTAAAATCGATTTCAAAGAATGTGACCATTTGGATTCGTGAAGCACTTAAGAATCAAATTTGGAACTCCCAGCTCTCCAAGAGGGAAAATTGTGTAATGTCCTAACTTATTAGCAATGATCACGATAGAAGTGCACAAAACAAAACGAGGACACAGAAGCATACTTTTCCTCCTGCTTCCTGTATGCAGATAACTCCTACAGCATGATCCCAAACCTAAAAATCAAGGCAATATATAATCAGTAATACAAGCTAATATACTTTAAAACAACTTTTTGCTGACCAGAAACTGATCTGTAGTTACCTTAATACTGGTTTGAGCCCTGGCTCGCAGAATGAAAACAGAAGCTCTTCCAGATGCCACCATAAGGTACTTGCACAAACTACGGAAACCAAGAACATGGGAATAATAGTTATTTCAGCAAAATAAAATGAACAGAAGCAGATCACAATAGATAGATCCTGGAGAAACCAAAAATAAAAAATAATAAAAGATACAGCAGTAGCTATTCTAGAATTTGATAAGAGTCAGCGACCGATGAACATTCTATAGCCAACATCATCTTCACCCAGGGAGATGTTTGAGACTCAGTATATATGCAACACAATTTTTTTTTTAAGTCAAAATCGATGTCCAATAAATTGCTTGACAGCAATTTATTCATCGAAGCAAAGAAGCGAAAAAGATTAATAACAACAATAAATTTAATTTACGAGTACTCATGGCCAGTTTCATATTTCTGCCTGAAGTCATAAAGCATGAACTTAAGATTTGTGAAAATTAAGAAATGGAGGAAAAGATCGTAAAATAAATTGATTACACTCTTAACAACCAAGGAAAAAGACAGAAAATACATGTCAATTTTACTATTATTTGGAATCAGTTGACAAAAACATACATTCTTGTTGCTTCAGAAGTTCTTAGTTATGGTCTATTTCGATGGTGGGCTTCATGGTCTTAAAAAATCATTTCTCAAAGAATAATGCCGTTACATCATGTATACAAATTCTTCCGCATATCATAGCAGATCATATGTATCAAAAATTTGTCTTTGCTGATTATTTGACACCTGATGTCCATGTACCATTAATGCCACACACCTCAAGCTGAGTTGCTAAAGCCAATACAGCAGGACAAAATCGTCACCTTAGCCTGTGGGCGAAGAATTAGTTTAGATAATGTTTAGATGTCCTTACACCATGTCTTTCAGTGCAACTGAAGCAAGAAAAAATTCTCCATGTGCTTTCATTGGACCACCAAATGTCATAGAATGTCCCATCAATTCACTCTTTTTCTTTGGTAATTGCTTATCATGTAAAGTTCTGTTTGAATATATGATACAAACACATAATAGAATATTATACTCAATTCTCACAAAACTGACCCAAAAATTTATGCAATTTTCAATGCTACAAAAACAACATGCTACCAAAAAGATACAACTTTCAGGGTTTGCAGTTTAGTAATATTTACAATTTTAACTTCCGCAAGCTCATTCTTGTTCAGTGTTTATGGTGGCAAAGGTAAAACATATAAACATAAAGAGGCTTCAATTTTTACCTGCATGCACATCACATTATACGAATTTGTGTCCTATCTAAAGGTTGATCAGTCTAATGTCTATATGATTCGCATCCTAATCTTGGTGAGCATGTCCTGGATCATCCATATATATCATGCTGCAACCTCAGCACTATCACCATGCATGTCTGTTCAAGGCTGTTGGACTCACTAATAAAGGATCACAAGTCTTAGAAGGCTGCTAGTTTTTGTGGACAATCATAGCACAATATGCAGCATTTACTTCAGATGCTTTCTCTAATGAACAAGGATTCAATAAGCTTTAAGTTATATAATGGTGACTTATCTGCTAACATAATTAATCCACAAAAAAATATCAAGCAGAGAATGTAAGAATGGTATCATGAGATAAAGAAGTGCAAAAACATACAAACCTGCCACAACAAGTTGGCAATAGAAGTATCGTTCCTCTATCTCTATCTTTGGTATCATCAACAGTTGAACTAAAAAATGCTGACAGGGGAATTAAATCCCAGGTTTGACTATCAGGGATACAAAAACGTGCCTCATGCACCATATAGCAGCTATCGACAAAGCATTGCTGCCAACCACCCTGCATGCTTAAAAATTTGTCCATGCCATCAAAAAATTTCCTTGTCCATGTTCCACAGCCTTCATGAGCAATCATGATTATCCCTGTTTCACAGTCACCAGTTTTCCTATCATGAATCCCAGATGAAAGAATGTCTACTTTCCAGTTCGGACAGCCCATCACACCTAGTACAATTTTTCCATCAACAACAAGAGCCAAGCCCACCTGAAAATTTTGAAATATTTTGATCCAGAAAGCAGACAAAAAATATCAATATACACTATGAATGATTTTAATAAAATCGATCCAGAAGTGATGATGAACAGTTTGTAATAACTGATAAAGATGATTAACTGGTTTAGGAAATAAGCCCTTGTAACAGTATATAGTTTGCAATGGTGACAATTGTGAAACAAGAGCAAGAAACAAAATAATTGAATTGTCAGATACCAGTATTGAAGTGGAACTGTGGAACAAAGACAATCTACCACACACCCTACAATTCCACAGACACAATCAGAAAAATTTTAAAGATTCTGCAGTTGTTTCTCATTGTAGACTATTCAATTTAGATACAAGTGTTTACACTTCTCTTGATGCAGATCAAGCAAACACTGACATATTGCTGATAATATGGTATTGGTAATTCCGTATAAAAAGTGCAAACAGAAGAGAATATATATATATATATAATCATTTAGTGGAGCTGCAGAAAGAAAATGAAGCAAAGCATACCACATATAGTGCATCATTGCCCTTCAAGAAACCCCGAGTACCATCAATGGGGTCAAGCACCTACAACAAAGGACACTGATTGGATACCATACAACAATCTCCAAGATGCATTTATTGGATCCTATCCCTTAAATTACCCAATAAGTAGCAGGCTGTGCATCAAAAGAGACTGCATCCTTCCCCCCTCTATCAATAGCCTCCAACACAACATCAGAAGTTAAAGGATCATCAGCACCAGTGGCTTTATCAGCAACTGCAGTCAACACCAAGTTCACAAGGGAGTTACCATCGTGGCCATGAACTCTCTGCAGATCTCCAGAATTTGATCTTAAGAAACCGGAGTCTTCTTCGGCCACCAATGGTATAGATGGAAAAAGTCTCTTCAGCTCTGCCATTACCATGACACAAATTGAATAAAATTAGAATTCAAGCTCATGTTTTGTTTCAAAAACAATATTTGCTTCAACGAGATCACAAAGAAGTGGACGAATAGTTTAATGAACAACTTTAGGAGTTAATTACAATACAGATGATAGGATTACCCAAGCTGATCAGCGCTTGCACGCCAAAGTCCGCGATTGTTACAGGCGTCTGATCGTTCTTTTCAAGAATCCGGCCTTTATCGGACAGCAGCGCCTTCTTCACCTGATGGATCAGAAAAAGAAGAGAACTTTAGAAGAAATGGGCCTTTTTGCGCCCCAAATAAATAAATAAATAAAAGAGTAAAGGCGATATTCCTCGTTCCGTCATCACATTCTTGAAGACTTACATGTAAATTGATGGGAAAATGAGAAGAAAAAGAAACGTACATCGACGCAGAGGCGGCAAGCTCTCTCCACAACATCGACGGCAGCTTCCAGCTCTCTGTAGAACTTGGCCTTCTCCGGAAGGAAGGGAAGGCTCGACCTGGAACGGAGAAGAGCCGTCTTAAGAAGTTTCGACCCGAAAAAGGGGTGAGAAGGTGGAATTTAGGAGAGACCTGATGGTGGCGAAGGTCTTGCAAGAAGAAGAAAATGGCGGACGGGAGAAGGGAGCACGGGATCGAGGGAGGGGAAGCCGCGAGGGCGGTTGAAGGAGGAAGAACGCCATGGACCGAGAGGAGACGCTTTGCCCGCTCAATGATCTCTATGCTTCCCTCGTTCTTCTCCCCCGTTTCCTGCTGCTCTTCCGCCCTAGTCTTCGACTCGCGGACTTTGCTCTCCCGACTGGCTTCATCCGAGTCGAATCGGAGCCAGTGAAAAGTTCGACCTTTCTTGCGGTCCGGACGGACCCACATATCCGACCCACAAATCGAATATAATCCGACCAAAAATTAAGGGCTCTTCGGATTCGCTGCTGAATTGCGTTCATCCAATATCGATTCATGTAAAATGGATCCTCATTGGATCCGCTACAATCGACAGTCTGAGCCGTATTCCTACTCTTATTTTCTAAATTATATTTGGTAGATATTTCAAGTTAAAAATAAAATTAACATACATTTGAAATTATATTTGATAGATATTTTGAGTTAAAAATAAAATTATATACATAAAATTTGATACTGATATGAATGATTTTGTCTTATGCCGACTCATCTATCATAAAGACTGACACCTAAGTAGCGCTCCAAATCATCAGCCTCAAAATAACATCGTAGTGCATCTCGATGCATCCCGCATCAATGATCGATAATAATCGTCATACCTTATCAAGAATAGTGAAAGATCAGACGATTCACCTAATCTTATTTTAAGTAAATCAGTAAGAAAGTATAGAGATCATATATAAAAAGGAACACATCAGCTTCCGCTTAAGAGAGAACTCTCTACACACTAACTTAGTGATACAGTGTACACTATTATCTTCTTCCTTTCGTTGACTTAAGCATCGAAGGAGTCACACTGAGCAACCCTTGATACTAGCCCGTCATTCAGGATTATTGACGATCATGAGATGACCCCACTACTAGGATACAACTACATAGTCACGAGACAACTCTCCGCCCGAGGACACCCAAAGGATTCAACCCCAGGAAAAAACCTTGCAACCAAAAAAAATCTCAAATCATTTATCCGATCATTTAAAATCAGGTCCTCACCAATAAAATGATTTCCAATCGGATTATCTGAGTCTCATCCTATCAAATCTCCCATGTCAGTCAAGAAAAACTAATAGATGACTTTCACCTTTTGCAGTAAATCAATTATGCTAGCTCATTTGTCGATGATACTCGTAACACCATCTAAGTATAACTCAATTCGATTAAGTCGCATTCAGATTGTACGCTTTACTCGTCAATCAGAGCATTATAGATGCGATATGATAGTTTCATCCTACAGATCCAAGAAGAGGTTAGTAATGATTACCATACTAAAAGTTTAGGAAATGCCGAATCCAACAATAACTAATAATTTACAGTCATAAGGATCGTACAGGTAGCAGAGTACATAAAGAAAGAAGAAGAAGAGGAGGAGGCATAGATTGATGTGGTTAAGAGGAGGAGAAGGTGTCGATGATGGTGGTGTGAAGTGGATCGCTTAGGTGGGTAGCCCAGTTGTTGAGGGGGCCCTTGCCGGTGACGGCGGCCTGGACGGCGAAGCCCAGGAAGGCGACCATGGCGAGGCGGCCGTGCTTGATCTCCGCCAGCTGCAGGGAGGCCTTCTTCTCGGGGTCGGCCGCCAGGCCGAGGGGGTCGAAGTACTTGCCGCCTGGGTACAGCCTCTTCTCGGGGTCGAGCTCCGCGTTCCTCTGGAACTCGATGTAGCCGATCACCAGCACCTCGATCCATATCAGCGTGGTGATGTTGAAGGGGAGAGGGAGGCCGAGGTACGAGGAGCCCTCCACCAACTCTACCTGCGGTCACACATCCAACCAGTGTTCTTACGTACACATATATTGGGTAGGAAGTCTGTTCACGAGACAAAAAGGTTGCGCCGGAAATCTTGGGTCTAAAATCGAGCTAGATTTGCGTAGAGTACGATATTATACCTTGCCAGCATCCTGCCAAGTGACGCCGGTGAGCCATTCGACGACGAGGGCGCCGAGGGTGGCGAGCATGGCCCACCGACCGTGGATGAGCTCGCACTCGCGGAACCGCTGCAGCCCAAACACCTCGGAGTACGGCTGGAAGGGGGTGGATTTCACGTCGACCCTCTCCGTCCGGGTCCCGATCACGTCTCCGGACGGATTCTTCGCCAGGTTCTGGTCCAGCGAGTCGAAGTCGAACTGAAGGTACTCGACCGGCCTGCCCAGGCCGAAGGGGTCGAATCCGTAGTCGCCGACGAGCGAGCCATCGAGCCACTCCGGTGTCTTGGCGCCCGGGAACCACAGCGGCCGGTCCGACGTCGGTGGCGCCTTGGCCTTCTTGGGCCGGGACTTCTTGCTGCCGAATCCGAACTGGGCCTGGAACCGGCCGACCGCCTTGGCGAGGCTGTGCTCGGGTAGGCGGGTGCCCAAGAACGGGGAGGTGGCGGCTGCTGTGGAGGAGGCCATTCGTCACACTCTCTGCTCCACTTGTTCGACAGAGAGACCCTGGTGACGGAGTTGGGTGTCGGAAGCTTGTTGATGATGTGGTGGGTTATAGGCGTTGTGGGAGTTATCTGTGCATGCCAGACTGGACGGTCGATGTGGAGACTGAGATCAATCTGACGGATGTGAGGTGTGCAACCTTATCCTCTCATCTGAAAAGTATCTACCTGAGGTTGATGCCTGGAAAGCAGTCACTGGGTGTTCGTTGGCCTAATGTTTCTGTGGCCTTTGAGCTATTTAACTCGAGAAAGAGAACCAGGAAGAATATAATTGTCAGGAAATACCAATCCTACAATCTTACTCTGGTTATTGTTGTTGATGAAGAACGTTTAGACTATCTAATCGACACAAGTTTGGATCAAAATGAACGTGGAAAATAGAAGCAAAACTTGTGCATTAGCAACACTTTCTGGTTCTGGTAGAGACTTGGGATTTCATCCACTTTCCTATCTCCGAAAGGGAAGTTTCATTATACATGAAAAAGAAGAGAAATCACCATGACAAACAGGACTAACTTTAGCAGCAGTGAGAAGATAGTTTCCGGAGCAAGAATGCGTTTTGATCTGTTGCTGCATGGATAGAGATGCTGTTCTTGTTGGTGAGGACTAAGTCGAGTTGATTCTTTCTTGGTAGTTGCATTATCCAGAGAGTGGCACAAATAACAAGGCTGTTTAAGCCCCTCATCAATGAGGGGGTAGACTCCAGATCTGAAATACCAGCATCAATCATAAGCAGAAGATGAAACAATACTGTACCTTTAAATGAAGAGGTAAGTATATTATGATAACATTGAATTGAGTGAGAAACACTTAGACAGCCTCTACTAGTATGCTGAGTAATTTTTTTGGTACAAGATGTTGATTGAATATAATTGTACAAGGGATAAATGAAAAGGAGCAGCTGAATACATCTTGTGAATCTTGAGCCTAGTGTCAAAATATAACACATTTCAGACATGAAAAGTATTGGCATATACAACACATGTGAAGCTTCTTCCGTGCTTCAAGTAAGAAAAAGCACTGACCAGGTTCAAGCTTTGTCAAACAAGCATTGACATGGCTCAATGACATGAAGTAGCAAAGTTAGTGACTCACAAAATGGAAATCTCCTGTGCACTTTGTAACGATCTCACTGGCGTTCTGAGATTCCACCTTTTCCTCTCTTTTCTTCTTTTCCCTGCAGAAACAAGTTCAGCTACATCAGCATCCAATCGATTCTGGCATATTTGGCACTTCAATCCTGATATCTAAGACTTGCAGGAAACGGATATAGAGAGAAAGTTCTTTTAGTTGTTTCCTGGTTTGCAAATCCATTGTTCATGTTTCATCATGGACTGAGGAATTTCGCTCAAAATAATAAAAAAAATGACGGTGAATGTATATTTGAAATCTTTTTTGCTGGAAAGCTGTATTCAATCCAAAGAAAATGCATGTCCAACCGAATGTGAATAGAATATAGATTAACATAGTGCATAAATAGTATTTCTGGATATTGCTTGAAATTCAGTGCAATATTCGTCAAATCTTCATCTGTAATCTATAGGGAATTACAGAACATACTTTCATAAGTAATTATTTACCTGTCCACATATTCCTTCAAAAGCTCCTTGGCTTGAACCAATTTTGATAGAATATTGCGGTATACATCAAGATCTCGATCCACGCTGCGCTTATTTATTTTCAATGCAGCGCAAAGCTGTCAACAGCAAAAAATTGACTCAATGCTAGTCCAGGAACGTGGATAACTGGATTATCATGATTTAGATAACTGTGTTCTGAGCAATGCACAAGAATAAACATATGAATTATATAAACTTTATGTGGCTGACAATGTAGTTGAATCTAGAACGAAGAAACCAAAGTTTTATATGAAGATAATACACCAAGTTAACCCATCATGGTTTTCAACATGACTCAGGAAAGAAAACACTACATACCATCCTACAAATATTTAGGTACAAGAGAATGCATGCCTTTCTCTTTGGGGAGATTATAATTGCACAAGCTGTCAAGTTAAATGAAGCTAGGTCACACTATCCGTTGCCTTTTTGGACCATGGCAACCTCTAGTTTTGCACTCCCAGCTCTCCTCTAAACCATGCTCCACAATTTAGGAACTATAATGCCCCAGCATGCAGTGCTTGTATATCTAGAGGTATCGAAGAATCATAACAGATGAGTTTATAGTTGGTCCAGTGTAAGAAGATTTACTGAATTAGTTCCTTAAGATGTATATCATCAATTTTCATTTATCTCTACTGCAAAATTGCTAAAACCCACATGACTGGAAGCTGGCTTTCCGCTCTCCCCTCCCCCCAGAATAAGCAAGCGAACAGCTGTGGCAGCTCTTGCAATTACACACAATAACATGAGATCAATTTCACTCTGTTCTGGAGGAAAATTCAATTGTGACAGTAAGAAAGTATACACTAGCAAAACTTTATTATATAGAAATATTTGGCCAAGAAAAATTCAGGTGGAAAACTCAAATTTGTGATTTTGGAGAAGAACAGCATTCCAACTTCTAGCAGCTGGTAAGAAATAAATTTCAGATCAAACCTGATGAAGTTTTAACAGCAGGAAAGAGGGAACTAAGAAATGAATATTAGGAGCTTGAAGACAGGTAAGAGAGAGAAGATAGAAAGGACAATAGACAAACTGCTTATTACCTTCTATCTCAGGAACTGATGTTCAAATTTCTGATGGTCAAACTTATAGAGAAACTTATGCCAAATTTCCTAATTTAAGTGCAGCTTATCAAAATTAGTAATAGTTGATTACTACTTCCAACAATCAAATGAGTGCAGGGGGCTTTACCACTTCCAACAATCAAATGGGTGCAGGGGGCTTTTTCAGAATCCAAACAAGATGACTAGAACTAGTCACAGCAGCAAATAATATGAAAGCAGATAGGTTCAGAAAACGAAGGTTATTGTCAGGATTTAGATATTTTAAAAGTATATAAGAATGTCAGAAATACGATGATACAGTATGAAAGCAATGGATATCTTTAATGATTGCATTAAATCAAGGAAATAAAAGTAACACGAGAAAAGGTAAAAAGAGAAATCACGAGGAATTTAGAAGAGAAATATAGCTCATATGATGGAAGAAGGACAACCTTTTCCAAGGCTGCAGGTTCAGTTGCATTCGCCAGCTCAAGTAGACGAAACAGTCCAATTGCAAAGAATCGACTATAGCTAAAATTTCCCTTACCCTCCACTCGCTCTGATATATCTTTCAAAGTGCCTTCTATCTCTCCTTCTCTGGATGAAAACTCTACTAAGGAAACAGCAGTCTGAGCTCGAGCCCACTCTTCGAGCTTTCTTGCATCACTTCTGCATTAGCAAAAAAATTAACAAGCTAAATTGAATTGTTTGTGAAACGGAAAATGTATCTAAAGGTCACAAGTATATTCATGGGAAAAGATATAAAATATTGACCATAGATGAATTTCATTAAAAGATTTAAGCAACTAGGCACCAGAGTTATGCAAGGGAGGATTTCACAAAATTAGGACCTCAATCTTTGACACACATCAGTTGCAACAAAATCAAAGTTCAAAGAATCAATTTTATAGGTTAAAGTGATAACCTAGCAGCAACCCAAAATTGATAGGTTAAATTGAATTTACAGCCAGCAACAACCAAAAATGTGGTAGCTGTCTGATGAGGTCAGATTCGTTTGTCTTGCTGAATTAAGTTGCATTAGTCGGACAGAAATAAGCCTTTTGCTTAGGCGAACAAGCTCTTGAGGACTAAAGAAATGCAGCATTGACTTCAACCGAGATAGCTGTCAAATTGTGGTGTTCGCCCAAAGCAATGCAGTCTGGAGGACCAGGGTGCTCCACAGAGAAAAAGTGTCATGATATGTATGAAGCAAACCCTCCAAAACCCATGGGGTGCCAAGAATACATCCTGTGGGGTCCTCTGACTGTCAATAAAGCACACTCATAAGTGAAGTATAATCCAAGATGAGGATCTTAGAAGTGTGAAGTCCAGTAAAATAAAAAAATTTATATCCCTTTAACTACAAAGAAGGCCCCTTTTACAGCATGGAGTCCTCATAATGGCCAGGTCATTATGGAAAATTGTCCATATCAAACCATTGAGGTGGCTGATTTGCCACCAATTATCAAGATTTGCTAGATGACATGGCAAATGATTAGGCTTTATATCAATTAGAGTGGAACAGAAAATGCTAGATGTTTTTAACAGCAGTGATGATATGTCAAGTCAATGCAGTGTAGTCCACCATTCCGTTGTTACACTTCAGGGGTCCTACTATTCCCACATTACTATAGAATACAGTTAAAAAGATTAGCAAGGCTGATCCAATGGTTCGCTTGCAACATATTTAGGCCAAATCTTAGACATGACATACACTCATAGATCTTAAGCAAATGCAACAAGTTTTCTATTCTTCAAGAAGATTTAGTTCCATTTTCCACAAAGGCATTTTGGTGAATTTTTAATGTAGTAGAGTGAAGTTAGGTGTAAAAATAAGTTCAAAAAAGTAGCCAGTGCAAACTGATAGACCTTAGATCTCGTCTCAAATTGTTAAAAGGGACTCAAACTAGTCTGGAAAAGGCTCATATAACAGGATGAAGGACAATTATCTGGCTGTTTAAGATTCTGTCCCTATAATGCAGGCGTAAGGAAGCATTTTTCCTATTGCAAATAAGTTTGTTGCAGAGCAGAGTGTTGCAAAAAGATTGTCGATGTGACAATTTTTCTTTTATTAGTCGGTGACCAACTCTTGTTATCTTTGTCCCACTGGTTTGTTTGTTGCTGCTTCTACCATGAAATGCTTCCTAATTATCTTTCTAACCTTGTAAGTTTTCAACCTCAATGATCTTATTTGGCTTACCTTGTTACTGCTTCACCACCTACGATCAAAGCAGAATTGAACATACAAGGAATAAGATTCATGATGGCCTTTGAACTAATAAAGGAATGAGAATATCACTCCATAAAATTTAGTACGGGACAAGGATCGATGCTCATATTTCACAAAATAGACTGAAGTACTGAAATGAA